GGAGGGGGACAATGAGGAGCTGATACCAAAGGCTCAAGTAGAAAGCAAATGTTTTGAGAATGATGATGGCAACAAATGTACAAATGTGCTTGACACAATGGATGTGTGTATGGATTGTGATAAGCGTTGTACAAGCCCCCAATAAAATGATTAAAAAAAACAAAAACAATGGATGGATGGATTGTGATGAGTTGTACAAGCCCCCAATAAAATGATTTTAAAAAAATTACTTTGTCCAAACAGAATCATTTCTTTCTAGTACTGAGATTAATGAAGAATTATTGTTTTAAAGGTTGACTTGTATGGCATGGGGTCTCTCTGTGTGTGTGTATGCATGCCTAGGCTTTAATAGGCTTAACTCTTACCAAAAGGTTAGTGGATTGAGTCCACCCAGAGGTGCTTTGCAACAAAGGCCTGATGATCTGTTTCAGAAAAGTCGGCCCATGTAGGCCCTTGGAGCACAGTTCTACTTTGTCCCGTTGGGGATTGTCATGAGTTGGGATCGATGTGATGACAACTTTTCGTTTTGTTTGGCTGACAGCAACCAACAAGAAAGTTAAACAAATTTTGACACTTGTTCCTTGGCCTTAAGAAAATAAATTTCATATTTTTCAGAATTGTTAGTTGCAAGATCTTGGAAACTAAGCATTAGAATGCATATTTAAAAGTTATATTTACCTGTGATAAACCATTAAAAAAAAGGCTTTTCCTGAAAGACTGCTTTAAAAAATTCCTTTATAAAATAAAAGCAAGTTATATAGATCTTGAATAAAACTAGTGTTCTGGAGGGTCTAGCTGTACACTGTGCTAGTATTTGAGATACTCTTTAATAAAACTCACAGATTGAATTAGAGTGACAGCCTAGAAGAGTTAAATAGTTGACAACTGAGACAGAACTGAACTACTGAGACTGGAAGAAAGGTGGTTAGAGATTCCTTTGAAGTGAGGCAGGCCAGTAGGGAGACTCACTGCTAGTTTCAGTTGTCCTTTAAAGGTTGGTACCTTTTTCTCCTCTGAAAGAGATGCTATCAGGCATAACAACGTTGTCAATAGAACACTCCTCATTTATGGACAGTTTGAGCATAGAACAGTCTCAGTGGAAATAATGAATATTGGTTATTTTTGGTAAACAACAAAGTAGAGGGCATTGTAAATTAACTTGTTGTTTTCTGATAGCTTTAAGATATCTATTTTAAGTTGAACAGAATTGAGGACTTTATGCTTGGTGTTTGCTAGATAGATTTGGGCTCTATTTCAGGCCCCACTATAAACTTGATTGCTTTTAAATTATAGGCTTCAAATTCCTAATGTGTAAACTGGGAATAAAACTACCTCAGAAAATTATAAATTAAACTGAAGATAAAATTTTTGGTATAACTCGTGACATATAACACATAACAAGAAATGTCAAGAAATGTCTCTCCATTATAATTTCATACATTGGCTGTAGTAAAATGCTGTACAAAATAAACTTCAAAGGATTGTATAGATTTTTATGTAACTTAAAGATTTTAATTAGAAAAATAATAACTAAAGAACATTTGGGAAACAAAGGAAAAAATTCCAATAAACCACCCATAATTCCATCGGACTTATGATAAATTTTCTTCTTGTGTTTTTCTTAATGCAGATTGTTTATTAAAAGTATTCTTTAAATAGGGTTAATTATTTTCTTTTCACGGAGGTATGGTACCATGGGATTATTCTAAGGAAATATTTCAAATACATGACAATTGTAAATATATTTTGCAAGAAACTACTTCAGAAAAAAACAGATAGAAGAAAAAGGTAGTATTTTACAGTTATAGATCCATTCTTCTTTAAAAAATCATGTTTCATAAAGCTTTGATCCTATTTGTGGAAATAATTCAATAGTGTACTTTTTTTCCCTTATATCACAAGCCTTTCTCCATACCACTATACATCGCTAAAGTAATAATTTATAGTAACAACAGGAATCTTAGGATAAGATTTAGTTTTTCAAACTCTGTATGTGAAGAAACTAGATTAGGTAAAGATGTATTGGAAGCCAGAAATTTAGAGTGCTGTTGAGTTGTCTACAACGATAATGCAGAAAATATAGAAAAAGCTAAAAAAAAAAATCAAACATAGCTCACTGCTACTGAGTAGTTTCCAACACATATAAAAAGCTAGAACTCAGAAATCTTGCTTTTCATCTAAATATCCAAGTTAGCAAAAATACATAAAACATTATCAACATAATTTTAAAGTCTATACACTTTTAGTTCTTGAATGGAGGGAACGTGGTGGAATAGTATTCAATGGCAAAGATGTATGTATTATGATATTGTTATTATTGGGGTTTTAGCCTCCCCCAAAAGTCTTTCTCTAAAACCAAGCAAGGTGATGTAAATTTTCATTCTAAAGAACAATTCATGGTTTTTGGCATTCAGTGACATTTGCTGTTTTACCTCATTTATGCTTTGGTGATTAATGTTTTTTCTTTTAAACTTCTTTGTTCTTTTAATGTAGTCTGTTTGGCATAGATTGTAGGAAGGAATTAGGGCTACATCTACTTTGAAGTATACACACGGAGTAGAGTGTGCTGTATAGGGACAGTTTAATGAATAAATGTAAAGCAAATACACGTCTGGGTCAAGAAATAAAGTATTATCAGAGGGCACTCCTGTTGTACTCCCCATCACTACTCTCATCTTCCTTTCTGGCAAAACTGACGCTAATACTTGGTTTTAAAAAAAAAAAATCAAGATTGTAATGTGATAATACAGCATAAAATACGTTAACATTAGAAAACACAAAGGGTCAAGTCTTAATCCCAGTATTTTCTATGCAGGCAAAAAAAGTTGAACACTTTAACAACTTTTAAAGGCTCATTCCTTTCTTTCGCTTTTCAAACTCTTCACATTCTAATACCTTGATTCTACAACTGACCTCACCTGCAAAGTTAAAAAAAAACCCCACAAAAACTTCAGCGTAAATTTTCATTGCTCCCGCTCTTCCTTGCCTTCGACTACAAAGAAACAACGATTTAAACCCTTTGTGCCCTCTTAGAAAATTACACAGATAGCCCATTGTGGAAGCCTATAATCCCTCCGTGGAAAGGAAGAGATTAGCATATGAATACAAAGCAAAATGAATCCAGAATACAAAATGATCTACTAGATTGTGAAGCGCTTGCATTCTTAAAGTTTTATTTATTTCCTCTTTTTGTATTGCCCCCTCTTAGTGGTCCCAGGGTTAAGGGAACTGAGTTTCCTTTCTGGTTACCCGGAAAAGGATGAAAACAAAACAAAACGAAACATACCCCCCAAACTGCCAACAGATTCCAAGGGGTGCAAAACCAACAGCAGGCTCAGAGCCCGCTGGAATCTGCGCCCCTCGATGCGAACTTACTTGCCGGCGCGGAGTGTAGAAAGTGCTGTTCGCAGACTGCGCGGTGGAGGAGAGAGCGACCGGAGAGAGCCATAGTGCTGACGTTGAAGGCCCAGCCCTGTGAGGTTGCATAGGGTAAGTGGAGTTGGCCGGGAGGCTGTGGCGAAGGGGAAGGAAAGAGGATTTGGGCTAGGGGGCGGGCCTTACGGCGCTGCGTGGCCTCTGATTGGTGGGACGCGGCTGCCCATCTCGCGGAATCGCTCGGTTAACCAGTGCGCTGGCGAGACGCGCTCAGATATACTGAGCGAGCCCGGAGGAGCAGTCTCAGATCCTGACGGTGCAGCAGCCCGCAGCCTCAGCCCGGGAGTCCCAGCCGCTTTCAATGGAGGAGAAGCCCGGCCAGCCACAACCTCAGCACCATCACAGCCACCACCATCCGCACCACCA